GACGCAATTATGACGACTTACCTTCCTGTCAGTGTTGGGTTACGTCAGGTCCTAGTTCTCGTTTTTACCTTTGTATTAATATCCTCTTCTTCCTTTCCTCCATCATCATACTCTTCTTCGTTAGTGTATCTCTCACAGGTACTCAAATACACCTCTACTTTACCTTCAATAATATTCACACACAAAACATCATAACACATCACATTTGTAGTAATAATATGACACCAGGAACCACAGTTGAAAATATCCTACACAAACGTTGTCCAACCAGCGTTTTGTTGACATTGATGACGTCAGTGATGAAGTGTTCTGATTGGCTGCATGTCATTCCCGCCCATCGGTTTAATTAAGGAACTGGATAAGGTTAATTGCTTGTGTAATCATTAAACCTGAGCCGTACTGCCATGAATCATAATATATAGAAATAAAACTGAGGTCAGTTGACTCCAAAGGCTTCATCATCCCAGTAATATCACGCCACCTAAATCAAGCGGGATGATTAAACAATGAAAACAAATGAGGTACGCTAGTTAGGGCAACATACAGACAACAGATCAGCAAAGAAGGTAGTACAAAATTGACCTTTAATGACTGTAACCTTATGAGGACGATAGTTTAATGACTGTAACCTTATGAGGACGATGGTTTAATGACTGTAACCTTATGAGGACGATAGTTTAAGGACTGTAACCTTATGAGGACGATGGTTTAATGACTGTAACCTTATGAGGGCGATAGTTTAATGACTGTAACCTTATGAGGACGATAGTTTAATGACTGTAACCTTATGAGGACGATAGTTTAATGACTGTAACCTTATGACGACGATAGTTTAATGACTGTAACCTTATGAGGACGATAGTTTAATGACTGTAACCTTATTAGGACGATAGTTTAATGACTGTAACCTTATGAGGACGATAGTTTAATGACTGTAACCTTATGAGGACGATAGTTTAATGACTGTAACCTTATGAGGACGATAGTTTAATGACTGTAACCTTATGAGGACGATAGTTTAATGACTCTAACCTTATGAGGACGATAGTTTAATGACTCTAACCTTATGAGGACGATAGTTTAATGACTCTAACCTTATGAGGACGATAGTTTAATGACTGTAACCTTATGAGGACGATAGTTTAATGACTGTAACCTTATGAGGACGATAGTTTAATGACTGTAACCTTATGAGGACGATAGTTTAATGACTGTAACCTTATGAGGACGATAGTTTAAAGCTTAACCTTATGAGACGATAGTTTAATGACTGTAACCTTATGAGGACGATAGTTTAATGACTGTAACCTTATGAGGACGATAGTTTAATGACTGTAACCTTATGAGGACGATAGTTTAATGACTGTAACCTTATGAGGACGATAGTTTAATGACTGTAACCTTATGAGGACGATAGTTTAATGACTGTAACCTTATGAGGACGATAGTTTAATGACTGTAACCTTATGAGGACGATAGTTTAATGACTGTAACCTTATGAGGACGATAGTTTAATGACTGTAACCTTATGAGGACGATAGTTTAATGACTGTAACCTTATGAGGACGATAGTTTAATGACTGTAACCTTATGAGGACGATAGTTTAATGACTGTAACCTTATGAGGACGATAGTTTAATGACTGTAACCTTATGAGGACGATAGTTTAATGACTGTAACCTTATGAGGACGATAGTTTAATGACTATAACCTTATGAGGACGATAGTTTAATGACTGTAACCTTATGAGGACGATAGTTTAATGACTGTAACCTTATGAGGACGATAGTTTAATGACTGTAACCTTATGAGGACGATAGTTTAATGACTGTAACCTTATGAGGACGATAGTTTAATGACTGTAACCTTATGAGGACGATAGTTTAATGACTGTAACCTTATGAGGACGATAGTTTAATGACTGTAACCTTATGAGGACGATAGTTTAATGACTGTAACCTTATGAGGACGATAGTTTAATGACTGTAACCTTATGAGGACGATAGTTTAATGACTGTAACCTTATGAGGACGATAGTTTAATGACTGTAACCTTATGAGGACGATAGTTTAATGACTATAACCTTATGAGGACGATAGTTTAATGACTGTAACCTTATGAGGACGATAGTTTAATGACTGTAACCTTATGAGGACGATAGTTTAATGACTGTAACCTTATGAGGACGATAGTTTAATGACTGTAACCTTATGAGGACGAGAGTTTAATGACTGTAACCTTATGAGGACGATAGTTTAATGACTGTAACCTTATGAGGACGATAGTTTAATGACTGTAACCTTATGAGGACGATAGTTAAAGCTTGTAACCTTATGAGGACGATAGTTTAATGACTATAACCTTATGTGGACGATAGTTTAAAGACTCTAACCTTATGAGGACGATAGTTTAATGACTGTAACCTTATGAGGACGATAGTTTAATGACTGTAACCTTATGAGGACGATAGTTTAATGACTGTAACCTTATGAGGACGATAGTTTAATGACTGTAACCTTATGAGGACGATAGTTTAATGACTGTAACCTTATGAGGACGATAGTTTAATGACTATAACCTTATGAGGACGATAGTTTAATGACTGTAACCTTATGAGGACGATAGTTTAACAACCTATGAGGGCAGCGATAGTTTAATGACTGTAACCTTAGGTCGATAGTTTAATGGCTGTAACCCTAATGGGGACGATGGTTTAATGACTGTAACCTTATGACGACGATGGTTTAAGACTGTAACCTTATGAGGACGATAGTTTAATGACTCTTAACCTTATATGAGGACGATAAGTTTAATGACTGTAACCTTATGAGGACGATAGTTTTAATGGCCTAGCAAACATATGAGGACGATAGTTTAATGACTATAACCTTATAGGACGATAGTTTAATGACTGTAACCTTATGAGGGGCGATAGTTTAATGGCTGTAACCTTATGAGGACGATAGTTTAATGACTGTAACCTTATGAGGACGATAGTTTAATGACTCTAACCTTATGAGGACGATAGTTTAATGACTGTAACCTTATGAGGACGATAGTTTAATGACTGTAACCTTATGAGGACGATAGTTTAATGACTCTAACCTTATGAGGACGATAGTTTAATGACTGTAACCTTATGAGGACGATAGTTTAATGACTCTAACCTTATGAGGACGATAGTTTAATGACTGTAACCTTGTGTCTGTCTGTATCTGTCTCTTTCTGGCTGTGTCTATCTGTGTGTGTGTGTGTGTGTGTGTGTGTGTGTGTGTGTGTGTGTGTGTGTGTGTCTGGCTTTTATTGTGGCGTCTTTGTAACTTTTAAGATTTACGTTCTCCTTTGTTGCCGGTTATGAATATTTCCTCCCCACAACTAACACTCAGAAGCACGTGTGAGAAAAACCACGGCCTCTCTCTCTCTCTCTCTCTCTCTCTCTCTCTCTCTCTCTCTCTCTCTCTCTCTCTCTCTCTCTCTCTCTCTCTCTCTCAATACAGGATCGCGACAGTTTTCAATTGCCTTATTATGACACTTTAATAAATTTTTCATGTGTGTGTTTATTACTGTCACAGAGACTTAACTACGGTATAAATATCTCTCGTTACCATGACTCCTATAGCTCAGACCGTGAAGGATTAGCTGTAGAGGTACAGTCCCCTTCACTAGTGCGTTTACAGGGGCTCGTCATATAAACATTCCACAAATCATTACATTGAGATATCTATTTTAATATTGTTTTATTTTCATTCCATATTATGTTTACTATTGCGAGTTTTCTTCTGTTGAATGTAAACAAACACAGCGCTGCCACACTGCACAAAACCTGACGACCCCTTGTAAACGCACCAGTGAAGGGGACGTGTACCAATTAAGACACATTGTCCATCAGCCAACGCGTGTCTTTATGTTCACCTTCGTCACATTTTGTAATGAAGTCGGGCATCAGTTATGGGTCTTGGGTGCTGCAGGTTTAGCGGGGACGCTCCTTATCTCTCTCTCTACTGCTTTGTCACGGGTTCAGATGCTTAGGGTGAGGTGTTACCCAGTGTGATGCTGTACCAAACATGATTTTTTTTTCTCGAGTATTTTAATTTCTTCCTGTACTAACACTGGACAATGAGGGTCTTGACTTATCTCAACCTAACCTAACATAACCTAACTAACACTAACCATATCTACAATTGGTTAGGTTAGGTGAGCGTTACACAGATTCGGGTATGCGTTATTATTGGCTAAAGGATAAAAAAATAAACAATAAATTAACCATCCAGACACACCCAGCCGCGTCAGTTGACAGAAAAAAAACTCTAAAGATGACAGTCTGTAGCCGCTGTCATCTGTACACCCGAGTCTCTACACAGATCTGTTGTATCCAGATTGCAATGCGGACTCCATTAAATACGTAGGTGGTGCTGGTGGTAGAGTGGTACCGCTCTTGCCTTCGCAAGCGAGATGTCACGGGTTCGATTCCCGGGCCGGTGGAAGATGTTTGGACATACTTCCTAGCCCCCATTAGTCCCTGTTCACCTAGCAGTAAAGTAGGTACCTGGTGTAAGTCGAAAGTTGCGAATTCGTATTCAGGGACAAGTTGTTGGAGCTTCCAATATCGTGATGACATAAAACCACTGACTCTTCAGGCTTCTATGCTCTTGACTCCTCAGGCTTCAACGCTCTTAACTCATGAGACATAAGGCAAGCATGAACTTAGCATGCTTCCCTGTTGGGCACTGTAAACGCTTCTGCGCTTCACCTTACACAAGGTTGTAGGGGAGTGCCCAATAAAAAAAAATAAAAAATAAAAAATAAATAAATAAATACGTATTGTGATGAATAGAACTGTGAGGTAAATTTATCTTGAGATGATAGCGGGAGAGGGAGGGTGAGTGGGTTATGAACACGGGGGAAAACAGTGAAAAGGAATAAACATTGAAAATAAGCAATAAACAGTGAAAAGCATAAGGAATAAACATGATAAAATAAGGTTGGAAGGGGAAACTTGCCTGAAATGATGATACTGGAGTTGTAAGGAGGTGCTGAAAGAAAACGGAATGGTTGATCAAGTAGGGGAGACTTAAGCCAACACGTTACACTATAAACACCTCTCTAGATCAACAGAACAGAAACAACCAATGACACACCCACTACATCTTCACTACATCTTAACATTTATATTATGAAGATTAAAAAAATATGGTTAAATGCTATGGTTAAAAGGAATTAAATTGCTACTAAAAACAACGATATTGTCTCTATACACAAACATAAATGACCAAGGAAGCTCATAAGTAATAGGTCATTCAGTTCATCCAGTCAACTTTTCAGAGAATCATTCTCTATCTTTGAAACATTAATCATCCTAAGCACATCCAACATTCAAAGTGTGTGTGTGTGTGTTTGTGTGTGTAACCCAATTAGATAAAACATCTATATATACAAACTAACATGTGGATATATAAACATTGTACGGACATGAATGAAGATATAAAACATGCATAAAGACAAACATGTGAAAATGTAAACAAACTTGTCAACACATCAAGAGAAGTAAACACAATTTAGACATAAGAGAAAATATGTAGAGGGAGCGCAGGGTCAGGACAACTTAAGAGGCCGCTTTACTTGTTAAATAAATCAATCAAATGGAACCTGCGGAATAAGATATTGATAAATAAAGGAAAAATTCACAAGAAAAATTACTTCCTCCCCCAAACATGTAGACACATTTTTCAAAACTAGTTAAAGATTATTTAGATTCATGATGTATGACGTAGCCAAGCGACTGGTGACGTCACATGAGGTATAGCTTTGAAGCCCCGTCTGTGTCGGTTAGTTTTATTATTGTTAAGTTGGTTTTAATTTAACAATAAATATTAACTGTTTTGATGTGAGCGTCGAGAGTGACCACAACTACACCTGGTTCATCCTCAGGAAACTCTTGATTAGTGTTGTTAAACTCGGCCTCGTGAGCCAGCCTACGTGTTGTTGATACAGATACTGGAGTCGTCTGTCTGTCTGTACACGTTTTACATTTTCACTTACTAGATAATAGAGGTTCTGTTTGCTGAAACTTTAAGAATTGTTCCTGAGTTGGTCTCCTGTTGAAATTGTCTCACGTTAATGAATGCCGTCAGAGTGGCTGCCGTCTGGAGTGGCTGCTGTCTGAGTGGCTGCCGTCTGAGTGGCTGCTGTCTGGGTGGCTGCCGTCAAAAGTGGCTGCTGTCACAGGTGGCTGCTGTCACAGGTGGCTGCTGTCACAGGTGGCTGCCGTCTGAGTGGCTGTTGTCAAGGTGGCTGCCGTCACAGGTGGCTGCCGTCACAGGTGGCTGCTGTCACAGGTGGCTGCTGTCTGAGTGGCTGCCTCAAAAGTGGCTGCTGTCAAGGTGGCTGCTGTCATGGGTGGCTGCTGTCTGGTGGCTGCCGTCACAGGTGGCTGTTGTCAAAGGTGTGCCATCACAGGTGGCTGCCGTCTGGGTGGCTGCCGTCTGGGTGGCTGTGTCAAGGTGTGCGTCCAGGTGGCTGCTGTCCCAGGTGGCTGTTGTCAAGGTGGCTGCTGTCATAGGTGGCTGCTGTCACAGGTGGCTGCTGTCAAGGTGGCTGCTGTCACAGGTGGCTGCTGTCACAGGTGGCTGCCATCTGGGTGGCTGCTGTCAAGGTGGCTGCCCGTCATAGGTGGCTGCTGTCACAGGTGGCTGCTGTCAAAGGTGGCTGCTGTCACAGGTGGCTGCTGTCACAGGTGGCTGCCGTCTGAGTGGCTGCTGTCAAGGTGGCTGCTGCTGTCATGGGTGGCTGCTGTCACAGGTGTGTGTCAAAGGTGGCTGCCATCTGGTGGCTGCTCGTCCAGAGTAGCTGCCGTCACAGGTGGCTGTTGTCACAGGTGGCTGCTGTCACAGGTGGCTGCTGCTGTCATGGGCTGTCACAGGTGGCTGCGTCTGGTGGCTGCTGTCAAAGGTGGCTGCATCACAGGTGGCTGCCGTCACAGGTGGCTGCCGTCTGGTGGCTGCGTCTGAGTGGCTGCCGTCAAGGTGGCTGCCGTCACAGGTGGCTGCTGTCCAGGTGGCTGCCGTCATTGGCTGCTGTCACACGTGGCTGCGTCAAGGTGGCTGCTGTCAAGGTGGCTGCCGTCACAGGTGGCTGTGTCTGGGTGGCTGCTGTCAGGTGGCTGCTGTCTGAGTGGCTGCCGTCTGGTGGCTGCTGTCTGGTGGCTGCCGTCAAGGTGGCTGCTGTCATAGGTGGCTGCTGTCACAGGTGGCTGCTGTCTGGTGGCTGCCGTCACAGGTGGCTGTGTCTGGGTGGCTGCTGTCAAGGTGGCTGCCGTCATAGGTGGCTGCTGTCATGGGTGGCTGCTGTCACAGGTGGCTGCCGTCTGGGTGGCTGTTGTCTGAGTGGCTGCTGTCTGGTGGCTGCCGTCTGGTGGCTGCCGTCTGGTGGCTGTTTCCCGTCAAAGTGGCTGCGTCGGTGGCTGCTGTCGGTGGCTGCTGTCTGGTGGCTGCCGTCACAGTTGGCTGCTGTCAGGTGGCTGCCGTCACAGGTGGCTGCCGTCACAGGTGGCTGCCGTCACAGGTGGCTGCTGTCAGCAGGTGGCTGCTGTCACAGGTGGCTGCCGTCACAGGTGGCTGCCGTCACAGGTGGCTGCTCGTCACAGGTGGCTGCCGTCAAAAGTGGCTGCCATCACAGGTGGCTGCCGTCCAGGTGGCTGCTGTCAGGTGGCGCTGTCAAGGTGGCTGCCGTCACAGGTGGCTGCTGTCGCTGGGTGGCTGCTCGTCAAGGTGGCTGCTGTCAAGGTGGCTGCTGTCAAGGTGGCTGCTGTCACAGGTGGCTGCCGTCACAGGTGGCTGCTGTCACAGGTGGCTGCCGTCCAGGTGGCTGCTGTCAGTGGCTGCTGTCGGTGGCTGTCAAGGTGGCTGCTGTCACAGGTGGCTGGTTGTCACAGGTGGCTGCCGTCACAGGTGGCTGCTGTCACAGGTGGCTGCTGTCATGGTGGCTGCTGTCACAGGTGGCTGCTGTCACAGGCTGTGCCACAGGTGGCTGCTGTCAAGGTGGCTGCTGTCACAGGTGGCTGCCGTCACAGGTGGCTGCTGTCACGGTGGCTGCCGCAGGTGGCTGCTGTCACAGGTGGCTCCGTCACAGGTGGCTGCTGTCCAGGTGGCTGCTGTCCAGGTGGCTGCCGTCAAAGGTGGCTGCCGCCACGTGGCTGCTGTCACAGGTGGCTGCTGTCACAGGTGGCTGCTGTCACAGGTGGCTGCTGTCACAGGTGGCTGCCGTCACAGGTGGCTGCTGTCGCAGGTGGCTGCTGTCACAGGTGGCTGCCGTCTGGTGGCTGCTGTCACAGGTGGCTGCAGTCTGGTGGCTGCTGTCACAGGTGCTGCTGTCACAGGTGGCTGCTGTCACAGGTGGCTGCCGTCAGGTGGTGCCAGGTGGCTGCCGTCACAGGTGGCTGCTGTCACAGGTGGTGCTGTCACAGGTGGCTGCTGTCACAGGTGGTTGCTGTCACAGGTGGCTGCTGTCACAGGTGGCTGCTGTCAAAGGTGGCTGCTGTCACAGGGTTGCCGTCACAGGTGGCTGCCGTCACAGGTGGCTGCTGTCACAGGTGGCTGCTGTCACAGGTGGCTGCTGTCAAGGTGGCTGCCGTCACAGGTGGCTGCTCACATGGCTGCCGTCAAAGGTGGCTGCTGTCACGTTACTGTCACAGGTGGCTGCCGTCACAGGTGGCTGCTGTCAAAGGTGGCTGCCGTCACAGGTGGCTGCCGTCACAGGTGGCTGCCGTCAGGTGGCTGCTGTCACACGTGGCTGCCGTCAAAGGTGGGCTACCGTCAAAGGTGGCTGCTGTCACAGGTGGCTGCTGTCGGTGGCTGCCGCGAGGTGGCTGCTGTCATGGGCTGCCGTCACATGGCTGCTGCCCGTCAGGTGGCTGCCGTCAAAGGTGGCTGCCGTCAGGTGGCTGCTGTCACACGTGGCTGCTGTCAAAGGTGGCTGCTGTACAGGTGGCTGCCGTCACAGGTGGCTGCCGTCAAAGGTGGCTGCTGCTGTCACGTGGCTGCCGTCACAGGTGCTGTCACGGCTGCTGTCACAGGTGGCTGCCGTCAAAGGTGGCTGCTGTCACAGGTGGCTGCTGTCAGTGGCTGCTGTCAAAGGTGGCTGCCGTCACAGGTGGCTGCTGCCCAGGTGGCTGCCGTCACAGGTGGCTGCTGTCACAGGTGGCTGCTGCCGCTGGTGGCTGCTGTCAAAGGTGGCTGCTGTCGCAGGTGGCTGTTGTCACAGGTGGCTGCTGGTCAGGGTGGCTGCCGTCAAAGGTGGCTGGTGGCTGCTGTCACAGGTGGCTGCTGTCACAGGTGGCTGCTGTCAGTGGCTGCCGTCAAGGTGGCTGCCGTCGGTGGCTGCTGTCACAGGTGGCTGCCGCTCACAGGTGGCTGCCGTCGCTGTGGCTGCTGTCAAAGGTGGCTGCTGTCACAGGTGGCTGCCGTCGCAGTGGTTGCTGTCATAGGTGGCTGCCGTCGGTGGCTGCCGTCGCTGTGGCTGCTGTCAAAGGTGGCTGCTGTCCAGGTGGCTGCTGTCACATGCCGTCAAGGTGGCTGTCAAGTGGCTGCCGTCGGGCGTCAGGTGGTTGCTGTCAAGGTGGCTGCTCACAGGTGGCTGCTGTCACACGTGGCTGCCGTCACAGGTGGCTGCCGTCAAGGTGCTGCTGTCAAGGTGGCTGCCGTCACAGGTGGCTGCCGTCAAAGGTGGCTGCCGTCTGGTGGCTGCTGTCAAAGGTGGCTGTCACAGGTGGCTGCTGTCACAGGTGGCTGCTGTCACACGTGGCTGCCGTCAAAGGTGGCTGCCGTCATGAGTGGCTGCCGTCAAAGGTGGCTGCTGTCAAGGTGGCTGCTGTCAAAGGTGGCTGCTGTCACAGGTGGCTGCTGTCACGGTGGCTGCTGTCACACGTGGCTGCCGTCACAGGTGGCTGCCGTCAAGGTGGCTGCTGTCAAAGGTGGCTGCTGCCGCAGGTGGCTGCCGTCAAAGTGGCTGCTGTCAAAGGTGGCTGCTGTCGGTGGTT